CTCCTGACTGACAGAGTACTGTGGAGGTCAACTAACTTTTGGGAATGAAGGCAGAAGTTTATATTTATTGCTAGTCTTGGTTGAGGGATGAAAGAATTTGACTTCCACTCATGTGCTTCATTTAAATCATAGAAATGCCACAAGGTTTCAGAAGGAATCAAACATCTAGTAAGTGACTTATTCTAATATTACCTCTATGTACTACTGATATTTTGGGGGCTGTTACCTATCATGTCACTCAGACATTCCTTTAGGGCTTACAGAGATGGCACTACCAGGAAACAGATTAGTTCACAATGCAGGAACTGGTAGCAAAAAAATAAATTGTCACAGGATATGATTTTTATACTGTTAAAGTGTCTTTATAATTTTTCCAGGAGACCATTAGTGTACTGCACCATCATTGAGACTCTCTACTGCACAGTGTGAACTTCTGTTAACGGAGAGGGTGAAAAGAGGAACTATATGGTGGAATAGGGGCGACAAGGGAAGGAAAACTGCCAAGAGGGACATAAAAAAAAGAAGGGTATGATATGAGATGCGGGAAAGGGAGAAACACAGGGGGAAGGACTGAGTCCATGAAGGAGGGGAGACGAAAGCATGCGAGCAAAGGGAGTCAGTCTGCACCATATTCCGGCCTGGTCGCGACGCGGTCCTTTCCTCTTTGTCTCTTGAATAAGTAATACTGGAATGTACTGAGTTTATAAATATTCAAGGATCAACATCATTCCCACATTTGATTTTGTGGGTGGATAAAGGTCCTCGCGGGAGACGCCTACGACGATAGAAAAATTCGCTGAAAGAGACTTATTCGCGAAGAACTATTTAATTTCGAAATTTATTGTTGAACGTACGCGGCGTTCGCGAGAATTAGTGAGACATACAAAATGGCCGACATGGACTGCATTATCGGGAAATGGAAGATGGTCAGCAGCGAGAACTTTGACGACTACATGAAAGCGTTGGGTGAGTTTTTCTTTCATGTCTTTCTGCTGTGACGTTTTATAGTGAATTTGAAGTAGGAAGCAATAGCGGTAGTTTTCAGTACCTCGTCACCATAGGCAACCATGTATGTGTGTCTGTGTGTTTTTTTTTTCGATGTTATGTAAGATTTTTTTTTTCTGCGCAGGAGTTGGAATAGTTCTTCGGAATTTGGCGAACGTCGCGACGCCGACTATCGAATTCTCCAAGGGAGACGACGACACGTGGACTATGACGACATCTGCGACATTCCGAACAGTGGAGATTAAGTTCAAGTTGAACGAAGAGTTCGAAGAGGTCACTGGTGATGGAAGAAAGTGTGCGGTAAGAATTCTATCATCGTTCACCTGTACGATGTGTAGGTGTCGCACAAATTTTACAGCCTTGCTTTAAAAGCGCTGAAACATCATCGTAAAGGTGACGAAATGTAACGTTTTATGCCAAACAAAATACCGTAACTGACAAAAGCTAACCAAAATTCAATCCAACGCAACTCTAGTCAGTTTAGGCGACACCTATGCGATGAAAAGGAAACTCATTGGGGAAATTACGGGAGAAATGCGTCTGTGACAGATTTTTATTCAGCGTTTCCGAAAGATGAAAAGAATTAGTGCAAAACCTCCTTTTTTTCGACGATTGCATATCATTGAAGAATGCCGCATGTTTAAAGTTTTTCAAATAGTTTCACTTCCTGAAACAGGAAAACCACGTTTTAAACCAGGAAAACATCGTTAAGCACAAACAAAAACATAAGAAAGTTGTGTAAGCCACATTTAACAGCCTAGCCATTTTAAACACAGTTGCTTTGCGGTATTATATTAATGATCTTTTTCTGAATCTGGTAAAAGTTAGACACCTCAAATATCTTCAGTTCACTGGGTTAACGGAGGTTATTTTTATTGACTTATTCCATCGTAAAGGGTTTGAACCGAGGCTTTGCTGATTATCGTTTCGTGGTACTATATTAAGTATATTTGACAGAAGATTCATAAAAATTAAAGTTGAAATTTTACTTTGAAGGATAAAACATTTTTAAAAATCTTATTACTGTCCAAGCATCCCATCAGTAATACATTGAGCAACGTACGGATTGCATTTGTTGAGTGGATTGCATTCGGCAGCACGTTCATAGAATTTCAGGAACTCAATTATTCAAATACGATGATATCTATCGCATTTTACAGCAAAAATAAGCAGTTCTTGTGGTAGAAGCGCAACTTCCGCAATCATAATTTCGGATTAGAGAATTCGTTGGTTTGCTAAAATTATGCTGATTTAGCCTCAGACGCGTTCATGTCTTTCAAAGTACTGTAGTAATTTTTCATAATTTAATCTGCTGTATATTCGCATTACAGACGACTTTCTCATTCGAAAACGGAGTTTTGACGCAGAAACAAGTGGGAAAAGACGGCTCGAAAAACAGCGAACTCATCAGAACATTCAAAGGCGACGACCTGACAACGGTAATTATTTGTATATACAGTAGATATATAACAGTTGATAATTTGAAACCAGCATGTTTAACTGACAGTAAATATA